CCCTCACCCCCAGTACCCCCTCACCCCCAGTACCCCCCTCACCCGACGCCGCCCTCGCCGACGGGGCGGCAGAGGGTGGGCGCCCCGGACACATCCTCGGCGATGGTGATGGCGCTGGGCAGCAGCTCATGCACCATGTCGTTGGCCAGCATGAGGTACACAAGGGCGTCGATGTTGGTGGAGGGGCTGGTGGAGAGGGGGAATGAAGGAGTGTGAGGGCATGGAGCTTCGACGTCGCTGCGGGTAAACCACATCGCAGCAGCATTTATCCATGGCCGAAGCTGCCAAGGGAGCCCGGCACGCAAAGGTAGGCTGGGCGGATGGGCCTGGGCGCGTGACCGGTTGCTGCTGCCGCCATTTGCCGCCTGGATTGTGCTGCTGCAGGACCACCCCTGTAGACAGCGCAGTCCCCCTCCCTGGTTCCGCAGGGGGCTGCGCCCAGCCTTGCCGCCGCTCTTCTACCCCACCTGAAGTACTCCGAGTAGTTGCCCGTGAAGCCAATGCCGATGCCGTGGTGGTGGTAGAGCATGGAGGTGACGCCGTCGAAGCGGAAGCCGTCGAAGCCCATGTCCTGGATCCAGTAGTGCAGGTTGGAGAGGAGGTAGCGCAGCGTCTCGTACCCAGCGTAGTTGAACAGGCGCGAGTCCCACTCCTTATGGTACCCCCGGTCCCCCTGCAGGAAGTAGTTTTCGTCGGGCCCCTGTCCAAAGTCGAAGCCTGGGCAGGGGTTTGGGGGAGGGGGTCGGCAGGGTGGGTTTCGGGAGGCAGGGATGATGGCCCAGGCAGCTGGGCGGCGGTGCCGGCAGGTCTCGCGCGGTGGCGTGGCCCTGGGCTCCCGGAGGTGTGGGCCAGCGTTACACGGGGACCCGAGCAGGTGAGCCTTCCACCATCCCTGGTTTCGGGACGAGCCGCCTCCCGGCTGGCAAACACAGGCACCCGCTCTCAGCACCTACCCCTCCCCCTCTCCATCCTGCCACCACCCAAAGCACCTGCCAGCCCGTCCTCGCAGTTGGAGGAGATGTGAGAGTGCACGACGTCCAGCAGCACCACGATGCCGAGGCCGTGGGCGGCGTCGATGAGGGCTTTGAGCTCCTCGGGCGTCCCGCTCCGGCTGCTCGCTGCGCGGCAGGGCAGAAATCGATTGGGTTGTGTGGAGACAGGCCCACACGCAGTCCCAGGGAGGGGCGCAGACGCAGCCAAGGATCCCTAACCCCCACTTCAGGTCCCCTCAATGTGCCCCTCTGCCATTCGGCACATGCGGCGATTGCGACACACCTGCAAAGGGGTTGGTCACATGGTAGCCAAAGGAGCCGTAGTAGGCGTGCTCCTGGACGGCCATCAGCTGGATGGCATTGTAGCCCGAGGCGTGGATGTGGGGCAGCACCGAGTCTGCGGGTGGATGAGGAAAGGGGAGAAGGGGGGCGTGGAGCGGCCGACATTCCCTGAGAGATGTTGTCGCTGCACCACTCGAGTCAGCCATGCGCAGTGTCAGCGTCACACTCGCCCTCGACCAAACGCTGAACCCCACCTGCCTCCATCCTCCCAAGCACACATGCATACAAACATCATCAGACACTGTCCCTCCACCCCATCTCCGCCACCTTTGAAGTAGGTGTAGCTGGCCACCGCCCTCTCCTCACTGCTCATGCCCACATGGGCCTCGTAGATGCGGAGGGTGGCGGGGCGTGGCGGCCGGGGGTGCACCCAAGCGTGGGCCTCCGCGGGCGCCCAGTGCACGCCGACATACTTGGCCCCCATCTCGCCCTGGGGGACCACAGCCCATTTGATCCAGGCGGGGATCCGGTCCACCCACTCCCCGCCGGGCAGCCGCAGGCGGACCTTCACCAGGGCGCCATGCGGGATGGCCGGCGCACCACCGGGACCTGCGCACGCGGGGTGGGGGTCTCTTGCGCTGGCTGGAGGGAGATGGGTGTGGCAGTCCGGGCGACATCAAGGCCTCCACCACGCGAGGGAGCAGAGCACCAGCGCCAAATGCTTTTCAACAGAGGAGTGTGCGCGAGCTCAGGTGCCCAAATCAGCGCACCGTGGGGGAGTTCGATGAACCATACGCCATTGTCGCCCAGGCTCATGTCCAGAGGCTTCCAGCCGTTAAAGTCCCCGATAAGCTGCGCAGCCTGGGCGGCCGGCGCCCACTCGCGGTACACGGTGAGCTCGTCAGTGGTGTGGATCCCGTAGTCCTTGGCGCCCTGTGGGGTTTGATGTGAAGGTGCTTGGTGCCTGACGTCAGGGCGAGGGTGTGAGCTTCCACCGCACCCCTGGGTTGGCATTCAGACCTGGGTGCTGTGAAAGCTGACCTGCAGGCCATTGGGCATACCTCCCGTTCCAGGGAACCCCAATCACCCTACCCACCCTGGCAAAGTTGAGCAGGGAGCCTGCATGCCGCTCGATGCTGCCCCGCGTGTTTTGATACTGCTGAAACCGGTACCTTAGGTGCTCCGCATGGCTCTGGAGCATGGGGTCCACCTCCAACACGCGCTGGGGGCACGGCGGGTTGATGGGAACAGTGGAGCTGACCGGTGTGCGACCTCCTGGGGAGCATGCAACACTCATGCCAGGGACTTGCGCTTCCCCACTCCCAGACACACCCTGCTCGTGTTCACTGCTTACCAGCTCAGACCCGCTGTGACTGGCCATTCCGGATGGAGCACCCTGCTGCCGCGCTGTCGCGCTGCAAGGGGGCGGCCCTCTCACCGCCGGGCACCCGGTGGCTTGCTGGGAGGCCCCCGGCCGGGGTTGCCGGCAATGTGGGGCACGAGGCGGAGCAGCCGGCGGTGAAGGGTGCGCAGACGCGGAGACTTTGTATACATGCATCTGCCGGTCGTCTCCAAAGCCCAAGGGTTTCCTTGGGGTGGGTAGTCCCCTCGAGCCTGCTCAGGGCCTGCACCGAGAATCCTGGTCGTGCGGCTGCTGAAGCAAGGTGAGCGAGGCTTCTGACCCTATTCGCGACCTCTGATTGCCAATTGTGTGTCAAAAATTACGGAACATGGTGGCTCGAATCACCAGTCAACCGTGTGATGCGCGATGTTGTTGATGCCTTCCGACACGGAGAGACCCGAGGATCCGCCCTCCGGGTGTGTGCTTCAGCGCGGTCCAGTCCCGACATACGTAGGCCTTTGAAGCGACCCAATGCGCTTCGGATCACAAAACTCCTCAAGAGCTTGAAATTCTGGCCACGAAAAGAGACTCGCTACCCTGAGCGGCAGGCTCCCCAGATCGAGGGATTAGCAAATACCACAGGCTGCGCGATGATTTGTCAAGAGGCCCTGTAATTCATCGACTGCATGGAGTTTGTAATGCATACAAATGTCGACTGGTGTAAGCCGGCGATCTGGACCTGCACTGTCCCAAGCAGGGTGACACTGAGCGGACGATGAGGTAGAGAGGCGCCGCCACGAAGCCTGGGAACCTCCGGCCTCTCCCCGAGTGTAATCTGTACACCTCTGATGTACACCGCAGCCCGCACTGCACGTCTGGGAGATGGTTCCCTCTCCAAGTCCGGGGAATGAGGTGAAGCGATCGCAATAGCATGCCAGAATGCCTTGGACAATGCCGAGCCATCATCAGGAGCTCCACACGATTCTGGCAGTTCCCCCCTCCAGCACAGAATGGCCCTCCTCTCTAATCAGACTTGGTCATACACGGATCACGCTCCGTTTACCTCAGTCACAAACCTCTGACCAGCAGGCAAAAGGTGAGGAGGAGAGGGGGTCCCAGCATGGATCAGCCCCGCCCCAAAGCCAACCACTCAGCTTCTGCACAATATCGATTTGTGCCATCTTACGAAGACCCAGAAAACGACTTGAAGTGACGCTCCGTGGAGCACAAGGGGAAAACCAATGCAGGAGGGTGGGGCAGGGTGCGCACTGTCAAGCGAGAGTGGTGCAGATTCAGTGGAAGGAGAACGATTGGGGGCCCAGCAAGGGTTTGCGCAGGGGCCCGACGAGCAAGGAGAAAGAAACCAACGGCATGACATGCAGGCTGCTCCAGTGAGAAGACAGCCGCATGCTGCTGGGGACTCAGAGATCCCCTGAAACTCAAAGTACCGATCAAGAATGGCAGAGCAGCCGCCCCGAGCTGGCTTTCAAAACTGGAAGTCAGCCGTGGTCGCAGGAGAGGGGCACTGCGAGGGGCCGGTGGGCATGGGGGCGCGGCGCCCTCACCACACGAACTCCAGCACGGGGGTGCGCATGAGCACCGCATTCCACCGGGCGCACAAGGCGCTGACCCTGTTGTAGGGCGCCGCCGCGGCGACGTTGGCCAGCAGCCACATCCCCCCGATGACCGAGGGCAGGAGCAGGAAGTTCTCCTCCAGCGAGCGCGACAGCTTGAGCCGGGGCGGGCCCAGGCCCCGCTCCTCCAGAAATCTCGTGCGTTGGCGCACCTCTGCGGTGCCGGTGATGGATTTTGAGTGGGGGTGAGGTGGAAGGGGCGCCCGGGGGTGGGGGGTGGGGGGGCATCATCCACAAGCAACCGACCAGGTTGCTCGCCTCCCGTGCGTCATAAAGTCCGTCCCCATTGGCACACGCCTTGAGCGTCAAGCATGCACATCTGGGCACCTGCACGGGCAGCCATGCCGCGCCCAGCCCCCTCAGGTCCCCAGCAACCCCTCTCGATGAGGCTTCCAGTCCCCCCACTGTCGTCGCCGGTCCCCGTCGTCTTCGCCTCACTGTCCACCCAGGCGCCCCCCCCCCTTCCTTGCTTTCCTCACCCATGATGTAGAGGAAGGCGTTGGGGACGACAACTCCCGCGACCAGGAGGACCCAGTTGGAGATCACGGCGCAGGCCTGCGCGGGCTGGGCCGGGGTGTGGCCGCCCCACTCGCCCAGCCCGGTGTTTGCCACGCGCGTGAGCGCGGCGTGCACGTCGTGGATGGCGCCCCCGCTGGGCTCTGTCCAGCCGCGCACCCGGCAGAAGTCCAAGTTGCACTGGAGGGCCATGAGGGTCCACACCACGACGCAGGGCAGGCGGCGGTGCAGGAGCAGCGGCCGGCCCAGCAGCTGCAGCGCGGCCATGGGGAACTTGGAGCCGGCGCCCAGGCGCACCGCCGCGCGCCAGGCGGCCTGCCCGCGGCGGGAGGCGCCGGAGACCAGGTCCGGGGAGCGGGTGTAGCCATGGAAGGGCATGACGAGGGTGGTGAAGAGCAGCATGGCCTGGTGCAGGCGCGTGCGGCTGCGCAGGTAGGCCTTGGCGGGCAGGAGCAGCGCCAGCAGGCCGGGGATGGCCTGGAGTGAGTGTGTGTTGGGGGGGGGGCCGATTAGGCGGAATGCGGAGGGGGGAGTGTGTGGAGATGGGAGGGGGGAGAGAGGGGATTGCCAGGATACAATGATGCGGCGAGCCGCGGGTTATTTTGCTCCGGGCATCGCCAGAGCCAGCGGCTGCCAGTGGTCAACAACCATGGGGCATGCACGACGACACTCATGACCGTGCCAGGCGCCTGCATCCATCGCGCTACTCCTAGCCCCACAATAGATGCACGTATCAGGACCATGCCCGTTCGGAGTGGGCCGCCACGTCCATGGCGGGTGTGGGGGTGGTGCCCCTCGCCCGCCCATTGGACCCCCCCTGGCCAGGTCAGGCCCCGGTACCTCGACGAGGGAGTAGAGGGCCATGGAGCGGGTCTCATCCATTGCCATTGCCCACAGCTGGTCGGTCTGTGGCCAGGAAATGGGAGGCTTTGGGAGCGGGAAGGCGTGGCGTGGCTGGCCGCAGTGTTTCGGAGCTGAGGGACAGGTGAGTGCAATGATGCCCGCCCTGACCCACCATTCTAGCCATGGTCAGGAGCGTCAGCGTCAGCAGAGATCCGGACAGGATGAATGAACCCGCGGCATCTGCAGCCCGATGCTGCGCGCCATGCTCCAGCTCAAACTCGGCCTCCAGGACAGGATCATAGAAAACCAGGGTGTGCGACCACGGCCAGCGTGGCCTTGCCCTGGAGGGAGATCTCTCCCCCCGAGCCATCGTTATTGTAATTTCCTTTGCTGGGGAACCATTGCCAGAGGAACCAGCACTCTGAGGGACAGTGCCCATACCGGAACTTGGTGCACCTCTCGATTCCGATTGTGTGTCGGGCAACCGGGCACAAAGAATCAAATCTGTGCCACGGAAGCTGGGGGGTGGGAGACAACATCAACACCGGGAAGAGGACACAAGACAGAGATATCTAAACATGATAAATGCATTCTTTGCGGTTAGATGTATACAACAATGAATGTACTGCCTCAATGAGGACTCGAAGGGAGGTGACGGGTGATTGCAATCGCTGTACATGTATGGGTATCTGTCCGTCCCGAGTAGGTTCAGGGGTAGAGGCTGCTATGCTTCGTAAAGTTTGGTCACACGGGTCTCCTCCATCACCATGTGGTCTCCGGGACCCTGGTGTGCATGAGATAGGCGTTCCAGCGTGCAGAGAGGGCGCTCAGCCGGTTTGGCGGCACGGCGGCGAGCGCATTTGCCAGCAGCCACATGGTGCCTGCTATGGAGGGCAGGAGCAGAAAGTTATCCTCCAGAGCCCCGCTCAGCTTCAGCCTTGGTGAAGCCAAGCCACGTTCCACCAGATATCGTGACCGCTCGCGCACTTCTGCAAGAAGGAGCCGGACAGGGGGCGAGGGCTGAGGTGCTCCCAACCTTGGGAGAACCCGACTACCTGGAGAATCCAGGCCTTCCCAGCCTGCGTCGTCTGGGCTGATGCAAGCACCCTATCCCGTCATCCCCACTGAGAAAATCTCCACCTCCGCCCCCACCCACCCCCACCCCCTCGCACCCATGGTGTAGAGGAAGAAGTTGGGGATGGTCAGCCCCATGACCAGGTAGCACCAGTTTATCGCGATTGCACATGCCTGGTTCGGCGAGGTCGGCGCACCCAGGGGCCACTCTCCAAGCCCAGTGTTTGCCACATGCGTGAGGGCAGCATGCGCGTCGTGGATGGCCACTCCGCTGTCAGTCGTGAAAGCCCGCACCCGGCAGAAGTCCATGTGGCTCTGGAGCGACATGCATGCTCATGGCAGCAAGAAAGGGAGGCGGTGACGCAGCAGGAGCTGGCGCCCGAGGAGCTCGAACACCATGATGATGAAACCGGAAGTGGCCGCAATCCGGGAGGCGGCGCGCATGGCCGCCTGCATGCGATTCTCCTCCCCGGAAACGAGGTCAGGCGAGCGGCGGTAGCCGTGGAAGGGCAGGATGGCAGCCGTGGCCAGCAGCATTGCCTGGTGGATCCTGGTGCGATGACGCAGGTAGGTACGGCAGGGGAGCAGGACAGCCAGCAGCCCTGGAATCGCCTGCATGCATGGATGCGAGGGCGGGGTGGCATACCGATCGTGGGTGGGTGGAGGGACACTCAGAGAGGGGATGTTCCGATCTTGCTCTTCACACTCATTTGAACCCCCCTCACACACGACCGGCTCTCAGAAACAATTGCAGTTGATGAGGAGGGGGAGCTAGGGCATCAATGGCCTGCCCATCTGAGCACGCCTCTCGAGGGGATGGCCGATGAATATACGCAGGCAAACCCGAATGCCCCAATCCCCACCAACATTGCAGCCCGTCACCTCGAAGGTAGCAAACATACACATGGGTCGCAGCTCATCCAACGGCATGGCCCACTCCTGATCCGTCTGAGGATGATGTCGTGGAAGGAAGCAGTGCTTGGCACATAGCTGTTGCGGGGACAGGCTCATGAACTAAGATCCCGACACCTGTGGCGTCCGATAAGCCGCTCCTCGCTCTCACCATGCCTGTCTTGGTAAGGACTATCATTGCGTACAAAGCTCCAGTCAGTATGAAGGAGCCCATGGCATCTTGCGATGCCGTGCTGCATGGTCGGTGTGGAATGCAGCCTCGAGCTGGGGGTCTTTGAAACCGAGCGTCATGCCCCATGGGCTCTCCTGAGAGCCCTCCATCAGCAACGAGGCCCGCTTTTCATCTTAAGCTCTGGAGGTATTTCAGATGTAAACCGAGTGTAGGGCAGGATAGACAGTTTACTGGGTTGGCGAATCTCTTTGGCCAGGTGTCTTTTCGATCTGTGGAGCGGGGTGGTACAGTCCACGTGACTAGATCGATCTGAAGCTTCTTGAGATGCCAACGCACATCAGAATGTTTTCCTGCCATTTACAACTCCCTTTTAAGGTTGGTGTGAGCGATGAATGCTCTTCATCATGCAGGTGGGCCGCATGTGAGGGGTCTGAGAGGGCCATTCGCATCGATATGGTGTATGGATCTCGCAAGGCTCTTGAGGCACCCCACTATGTGAACTGCAGCAATGCAGCCTAAACGAGGTCTTCATCCACATTCTCTATAATCTCAAGGATTTATGATCACGGTCTGAGGCGCCATGTGCGCGTATTTGGTCATTGGGTGGTTAGAAGGATAGGACTGGGAACAGATTTGCCCCAGAGTATTGGACCCCCCGGATTTACACCATTTTCGTCCCATGCCTGCGGTTTGGGGCATTATTCATAAGATCAAGGCACGTGCTACAGCGTTGGGTGACCCAAGGACAGTCCTTCCCCCCGCATTGCTGTCTCAGTCTTCTTACCTCAACGTCTGATATTAGCCCTTCCATGGATACATCCATTCGAGTCCCTGCAAGGAACTCTTCATAACATCCGACATTGTGCAGACAAGGGAGACACTGCACCGGATTGTGGAGCAGATGGTGGGTTCCGGCCTACCGATTGTCCCAGGAAGCACGGGGGCCCCACAGGTCCAACCTGAATCACCTCGTCTCCCTTTCATGGCCCGCTATTCATCACAGCACCCCCCCGCCAGCTCCAATTCTTGTGTGCGCACATTCAGCAAAAGGGTCAATGAAATCGCTTCCAAGTCCTGCTGGGCTCAGGTCTGGCCTCCTCCATCACCATGTGGTCTCCGGGGCCCTGGTTTGCATGAGATAGGCGTTCCAGCGTGCAGGGAGGGCGCTCAGCCGGTTTGGCGGCACGGCGGCGAGCGCATTTGCCAGCAGCCACATCCCGCCTAGGACGGAGGGCAAGAGCAGGAAGTTGTCCGCCAAACCCTTGCTCAGCTTGAGCCTGGGCGGGGGCAGGCCGCGCTCCACCAGATATCTTGAGCGATCGCGCACTTCTGCAAATGGAAGCCGGGCAGGAGGAGAGGGCTGAGGGGCATCCAGCCTTTCCTAGGATAAGTTGACGTCACACATCCCAGTCTGTCCCATATACGGCTCTTCTGGGGATGCAGGCCTCCAATCTAATCATGCCCTGGCAACCCAAGTCTATCCTTTGTCACCCCTTCCCATTCCGCCCTGCCAACACACCCATGGTGTAGAGGACGATGTTGGGGAAGACCAGCCCCATGACCAGGTACCACCAGTTTGTCACCACTGCGCACGCCTGAGTCGGCGACCTCGCTGGCCCGAGGGGCCACTCTCCCAGCCCGGTGTTTGCCACGCGGACAATGACAGCGTGCGCTTCGTGGATTGCCACGCCACTGGCGGCTGTGAAGGGCCGCGCCCTGCAAACGTCCATGTTGCATTGGAGCACCACCAGGACCCAGGGCAGCAGGAAAGGGAGGCGGTGGCGCAGGAGGAGCTGGCGCCCAAGGAGCTCGAACACCATGAACACAAAGCGGGAGTTGCCCGCCAAGCGTGAAGCGGCGCGCCTGGCCGCCCGGACAGGGTCCTCCTCCCCGGAGATGAAGTCTGGAGAGCGGCGATAGCCGTGGAAGGGCAGGAAGGCGGCCGTGGCCAGGAGACTTGCCTGGTGGATCCTGGTACGATGGCGCAGGTAGGTCTGGCTGGGGAGCAGGACAGCCAGCAGCCCGGGAAGGGCCTGCATGGGCGGGCGGGCGGGGCGGGAGATCCGGTCAGTGGGTGGGTGCCAGTGGTTTGGGACCAGATCCGGCAGTGCCGCATGAGCTGGTATGGCACAGTGAACCCTAAGAATGGCTCAAACCATCATCCATAGTCTTTGATGGAGTGGGGCGGGGTGGGGCCCAGTGTCCAGTAGTACGATCAAGCCACGGATCCCATTCCCCGAGGGCATGAGTCACCGCTTGCAAGCGTTTCCGGACCCCACCACCCGATGAATCCATCACCTCGACTGTGGCGAAGATGCCCATGGGTCGAAGCTCATCCATGGGCATGGACCATTCCTGGTCCGTCTGTGGTGATGCAGGGGGGAGGGCGCAGGGTCTCCTGCATGGCTGTCCTAGGGCGTGCTTCATGAAGTCGACGCCGTTACCCACGGTGCTCGGTGACCCGCTCCCTGCCTCACCATGGCAGTCTTCGTCAGGACTATCATTACATAGAGGAGTATTGCAACGAGGAAGGATCCCATGGCATCTTCCCTGCGGTGTTGGCGGGCATGGTCGTGGCAGAAATCGGCCTCGAGCTGGGGGTCCTTGAAGCAAAGCGTCACACCCCAGGAGCTCGCCGGCAATGCCTCCATGAGCAGCGAAGGCCGCTGTTGAGCTCAAGGTATGGGGTTTACGTAGCAACTGGCCAGGTTTGGTGCAGGTCAGATGTCTCAATGAGACGGTCATCCGCTTGGCTAGGTGTCTGTTCGGGAACGCGCGATTGGCGCAGAGACGTAAATGTTGTGAGTTGAGTGAGGTGCCACCGCTGTTGGATCAAGTCTCAAGCCATGCACACGCCAACGAAACTTTCAGAGTCCATCGTATGGGCACTTCGAATGCTCACATACCGCCAGATGCAGGTGGTGCACATGTGGGGGGCCAAGAATATGTGAGCTGGCCCCACATAATGCTAGGGAACCTGCTTGAAAAGATACACGCTGTTAAGTACGCTCACACACCCCATCTGACGCCACTACACTTTCAATCACAACACACCAATCATCCGTGGTTCCCTGTCGAGCACAGCATGCCTCACTGAAGCTCATGAATTGGCATCTCCTTGCACTCCACAGCCGTAAGGTACAAGATTTTCACAGGCTCCCCCGGATCATGCTTGGCGAGGTCATCTGTACATCCATCCACATACCCAGACGCCCGACCAGTACGAGCCTGGTACAGCAATAATGGCCCCTTTTACTCAGATTGACCTTGTGAAAGCTCAGAATGGGAGATTATAAGAACGATACCCACAGCGAGTATCCGCCGTATGAATGCGCTTGGGCTTTTATTGTGGGTGTACACTGTCACGGCTGTGCCCTGCAGGATGACTCATGGCCACTCTCGCCCCGCAATTCACTGCTCCATCCCTTCTAGCTCTTTCTCTGATGCTAGGCCTTCCGAGGACCTCCTCCCCCCGTGATACTTCAGCACCACTCCACACCATCTCGAAGCGGGGGACACTGCACAGCATCTTGGAGAAGGGGGTGAGGCTTGGACCGTCTTTCACGTCAAACTGAGCACGAAATCCATTGCGTCGCTTCCTTTTTGATTTGTCTTTCAAGCAAGAGTCCCGGCACATCTCCACGCCCCGTCCGCCAGCTCCCACCCTTACATTTAATTTAGTAGAAGAGAGAGTGAACTGTCTTCGGCCTTGCCGGGCTTGGGCTTGGCCCCTTCCATCACCATGTGATCTCCGGGACCCCGGTCTGCATGAGATAGGCGTTCCAGCGCGCGAAGAGGGAGCTCAGCTTGTTCGGCGGCACAGCGGCAAGTGCGTTGGCCAACAGCCACATCCCTCCTAGGACGGAGGGCAGGAGTAGGAAGTTCTCTTCCAGACCCTTGCTCAGCTTGAGCCTGGGCGGGGGCAAGCCGCGCTCCAACAGATACCGCGTCCGCTCGCGCACTTCTGCATACGGGGATCGGGCAGGTGCCAAGGAATTCAGCAGCTGTCAATCAGCTCCAGCCCACGCCCCCTTCACACATCCCAACCAGCCCATCATGCCACGTGTGGGAGGATGCAGGCATCTGTTCAAGCCACCTCCCCCGCCAGCGCATGTTGCCGCCCCCTTCCCCCCCCCAACCCTCTCATCACGCACCCATGGTGTAGAGGAAGATGTTTGGGAGAGTCAGCCCCATAACCAAGAAGCACCAAGTGGTCAAGACAGCGCATCCCTGGGTCGGCAGTCTTGGTGACCCCAGGGGCCACTCGCCCAGCCCAATGTTTGCCGCGCGGATTGCCACCATGTGCGCGTCGTGGATGGCCACTCCGCTGTCAGTCGTGAAAGCCCGCACCCGGCAGTGGTCCATGTTGCACTGCAGCGCCATCCATGTCCATGGCAGCAGGCAGGGGAGGCGGTGGCGCAGGAGGAGCTGGCGCCCAAGAAGCTCGAACACCATGATGGTGAACCCGGAAGTGGCCGCAATCCGGGAGGCGGCGCGCATGGCCGCCTGCATGCGATCCTCCTCCCCGGAGATGAAGTCTGGCGAGCGGCGATAGCCGTGGAAGGGTAGGATGGCGGCCGTGGCCAGGAGACTTGCCTGGTGGATCCGGGTGCGAAGGCGCAGGTAGGTCTGGCTGGGGAGCAGGACAGCCAGCAGCCCGGGAAGCGCCTGCATGCATGGATGCGAGGGCGGGGCTGATTGTGACGAGGGTCGGTTGATGGCTGTTGTTTGGGGCCAACATCGGCAGAGCTCCATGGACTGTTCCAGTAAAGGTGTTCCACACCCAGCTCTAAGCACTTTCTGTAGTGGATGTGAAAGTGGAGCTCGAGGAGTCTCAGCCCGCGCTGGTGGAAGAATCCAATATCCCGCCCCTCGTGGGCGTGCAGATTGAGGGGCACTGCGCATTAACCCACTCAGGCCCCCACCCCACCCACCTCGACCGTGGCGAACATGCTCATCGGTCGCAGCTCATCCATCGGCATGGTCCATGATTGGTCCGTCTTGGTATGGTGTGGTGGAGGGACGCAGTGCTCGGCAGATGGCTGTTGCGGGATGTGCTTAATGAACTCAAGATTCCGAAACCCGGCACGTCGCTTCCTGCCCTCACCATGCCAGTTTTGGTCAGGACGATCATTACGTACAAAGCTGCAGTCAGGATGAAGGACCCTATGGCATCCTCCCGGCGGTGTCGCGCGGCATGGTCGAGGGCGAAGTCGGCCTCGAGCTGGGGGTCTTTGAAACAAAGCGTCACACCCCATGGGCTCCCCTGCGATGCCTCCATGAGCACCGAGGCCCGCTCTAGAACTCCGCGTATGGGAATGCAACAGCAGATGGACGAGCGCATGGCAAGGCATATGTCATAATGAAACCGCAACCCTCTGTTGGCTCGGTGCCTGTTCGATCCTGCTGGCCGGACCCCTGGCGCAGTGGGCTTTTGAATGTCGAGCTGTGTGAGGTGAGGGCTCCCTACAGGGATGATCCCCCAGCCACGCACGGGCCAACGAAATGAACAACTCATCCAACGGCAATAGCATTCATGCGTATCCTTCCTTAAACACAGGTGGTGCATGCATTTTGGATCCTGTCAGGATACCCTGGGCCCAACACCATGAGTATGTACCTGCCTGGATGCGGTATGCCGACCTTACTACTTTGTACACCCCATCTTTAAGCTGGATGGCAGGCATCACCAACCCCTTACCTCTTCAGGACAGTACTCCCCAAGCCATGACATGGACATTCAGGCACCTTTGGGCTGATCCCCAAAGAGAGGAGGCCCGACATGCAACGAATCAATCGATATCCTGTGGCTCAGACGTTGTGAGGTCCTCTGGACGTCCAATCCCACCCTTTGACGCCCGGCCAGCATCCACTCACTGCAATAGCACTGGCGCCCCACACATTGACCAAGTTTGCAAGGAGTAGGGCTCGGAGCTCACTAAAGTCAATCCTACAGCTGATCTGTGTCCCATACACATGCTTGGGTCATTCAAAGGGTCGTGCGGCGTGAGGGTGTTGCAGTGCAGAGTGCACCATGGACAGTCCTACCAGACAAGGTCCTACCCATCCCTTGTAGCTCTACACGGGTCCTATAAATCTGAGAACCCCAACCCTCCAACTCCACTAGGAAGACCTGACAGTGCATTCCGAAACTGGAGAACGCTGCGCCGGTTTCGGAGGAGTGGGGTTTCGACCTACTGATCGGCCCAAGAAAGCACGAGCCCCCCCTCGGGTCCCATCTTGTTTCATCTCGTCCTCCGCGCACGGGCCACAGCTCATACTCGAGCCCCCTCCGCCTGCCCCAATCCTCGCATGCTTTTCAGCTGAAAGGAGTGTCAAATCGTCCCCTGCCCCGTCGGGCTGCTCCCTCCCCCGACCCTCTGTTCGGAAGCCTCCCCACCCTCGCTCAGTTTACTCTGTCGCGCGACCCGGGCTCTCCCACACATTGGCCTGACACTCCTGCATCGGGTTGCGTCTCGAGGTGAGTCGCGACAACCTCCCCGCAGCTGAAACATGCAGCAAAACCCGGGGACAAGGTGGTGGGGCGGTCCTCGGCCGGGGAACCCCATTTGCCCGAGGTCAGACCCCTCACCCTCGCCCCCCGGGCCTCGCAGGGACATGCGCTTGGGTCTCGGCTTCGCGGCATGAACCCTCTCAATCCCCAGCAGCAGGAGCAGCAGCAGCAGCAGCGGCAGTCCGGCCAGCAGCCGGGCGCACCCTCCCTCATGCAGTTCCCCGGGATGGCGTACCCTGCAGGCCCCTGGTTCGACCCCGGGGTCTTTGGCCTGCCCGCTGCCGTGCCCACGCAGAGCAGCGTGCGCAGCGCGTCGCCCAGTCACACCCACTCGGGCGGCACGCCCAGCTTCAGTGGGTCCATGGGCGCCGCCTTCGGGACCAACCCCCACGAGGCCTACGGCGGCCAGCCCGGCCCTGCCGGCGTGCTGACGGGGCGCCCGCTGGGCCCCGGCGCCGGCGGCGCCTCCTCCCTGGCGCCGCCGCCCGCCGCTGGTGTGCCCTCTCACAACCCCCCCTTCCTCCTGCTGCCCCAGCAGCCGGCGGCGGGCGGCGGGTACGCCCCCCCCGCCCCCGGCGCGCCCTTCGCCAGCTACGCTGGCTACGGCGGGGCCCTGCCGCTGCCCGGCCAGGCCCTGTCCTTCGACGGCCTGGCCCTCCCCGCGCAGCGCGCCGGCTACTCGCTGCCGTCCCTCATGACGGCCCGGCCCGGCGCCGGCGGCGGCGCCGGCCCCCTCCCGGGGTCGACGCAGGGCTGGGGTGTGCCGCACCTGCAGTCGCGCCCCGCGGCCGAGGGCGGCGCGCCCGCGCCCGCGCTCAGCGAGTCGTCCGCCGGCGGCGCCAGCTCCCACAGCGGCGGCACAGGGGGCGGCAGCACCCTGCACGCCGCGCCCGGTCCCGGCGCCCGGCCTCCGACCTCGCCGACCTACGGCGTGGCGCCGCGCGGCGGTGCCGGCGCTCTGTCGTCGGCCGCCGCCGCCGATCCGGCCGCCGGCGGGACGGCGGGCCTGACCAAGTCGCGGTACCGTGGCGTGTCGTACGACCGCAAGAAGGCAAAGTGGCGGGTGCAGATCAAGGTGGCGGCGCTGGGCAAGTCCGGCGTGAGCGTTGGGTACTACGACACGGAGGAGGCGGCGGCACGCGCCTATGACCGCGCGGCCATCGGCCTGCTGGGCCGCGACTCGCACAGCCTGCAGACCAACTACGGGCTGGGGGACTACGCGGGCGAGTCCATCCCGCGCCTGGCGGGGAAGTCGCGCGAGGAGGTGAAGACGACGCTGAAGAGCGAGCGCATCAAGGCCGCGCCGCGGCGCCGCTTCACCTCGCGCCAGCGCACCTCGCGCTTCATGGGCGTGGGCAGCAGCAACCGCAAGAACCAGTGGCAGGCGCGCATCCTGGTGCACGGAAAGGTGACGCACCTGGGGTACTACGAGACCGAGGCCGAGGCCGCGCGCGTGTACGACCGCGTGTCCATCGCGCTGCACGGCGACGCGGCGCAGACCAACTTCCCCGCCGCCGAGTACCCGCGCGACGAGCTGCGCGCCTTTGGCGGGCTGGAGCGGGAGGACCTGCAGCGCGCGCTTGGGGTGAAGCCCATGGACAAGTCGTCGCGCTACCGCGGCGTGTCCAAGAAAAAGGGGCGCTGGGAGGCCAAGGTCATGGTCAACCGGCGCTGGGCCTACCGCGAGCTGTTCGACAGCGAGGAGGAGGCCGCGCGCGCGTACGACAGCGCGCTGTGGCGCCTGAAGCCCAAGGAGGCGCGGTCCTACGTAAACTTCAAGGACGAGGCCAGCGCGCGCGCCGGCGGCGGCGGCCACGCCGGCGGCGGGGAGGGTGCCGGCGCCTCCGACGCCTCCGACGCCGACCCGGACTTGAGCAGCGGCGAGGAGGACGAGGCATCGGACGCCGGGTCGGAGTTCTCCGGCTCCGAGCTGGGCCTCGGCTTCTCGCTGGCCGCCACGGGCGCGCGCCCGCGCTCGCGCCGCGTCGGCTCCGCGCCCAACCTCGCGCGCTGGGCGATGAGCCAGCAGGCTGCAGGCGGTGCCGGCGCCGGCGCCTGGCCCCCCGGCGGCTGGGCGACCGGCGGTGGGGCGGCGGGGCCCCCTCTCGCGCGCAGCTTCAGCGGAACGCCCTCGGAGAACGCGCCCGTGGACGAGGAGGGCGCGCGCGCGCTCAGCGACCCCCTCCTGGACCGGTTCGGCAGCGGTGTCGGCGGCGCCGTCGGCGGCGCGCCACGCCGGCCGCCAGCCGCCGCGACGCTGGGCAAGCGCGACGCGCCCGGCGCGCGCGCTCTGCCGCGCACCGCCTCCGAGCCGCACTTCCCCTCTGTCAAGCTGGAGGAGGGGTGGACCCCTGCCCCCGTCCTGGGCGAGGTGGCAGAGCTGCTGTACGACGACGACTTCTTTGCGCTGGCCTTCGAGGGCGGCGGCGGCGCGACCCCGGGCACCGGCCCGGCGCGCGGGGGCGGCTCGGGTCCCGCCGCCGCCGCCCTGACCTTTGACATGGACTTTGAGACCGCGGGGCTGCTGGACTTCATCAAGGACATGCCAGACGCCGGCGCGGGGCCCAGCCTGGGCAAGTCGCGCTCGGCGGTGGACCTCAGCAGCTGGGACCCGGCCAGCGGTGGGTTTGGGGTCGAGCGTGTGCTTTGGGATGAAGAGGTGGGGTGGGGAGGGACGTCTGTCACGGAACGAGAACGGCAACCCAATGCATTTCTGCCGCGAGGGGGGGGGCCCTTGGGCTGAGGTGAGTGGAAAGGATACCCTGGAGAGTACAGGCGGCCGGTGACTGGGCGGCGGGGCCGCACTGTGGCACCGACATACATGCTACACGTTGTCTGGCCTGCCCACATGCCTGTTCTCCCATCCAGCAAGGCCAGGACACCCTCTTCAACCCTCTCCCCCTCCCCCCTCCCCCCCTCCCTTTCCCAACAGAGATGGATTTTGGGGACTCAGGGATGGGCGAGATGGGCAGGCCCCGGAAGATGAGCAAGAGCGTGTCCATGGGCAACCTGGCCGGCTGGAACGACTCGCCGCCAGACTGTGAGTTCGGGGTGGATCCACTGTGCCGGGTGCAGGCGCTCACGCGCCTCGTGGGCGTCGCCTGGGCATGCACGCCTGTGGCTGCGAGGTCCAGGTGAACCACCCACTCACTCCAGTCCAAACTCCCTGGCATGACGCAGCCGACGGCTCGGGCGGGGCCAAGCTCGGCCCCCTGGGCCATCCCATCCGCCGCATCAACACCTTTGCCACCAAGCTGCCGACCTTTGAGGAGGTGGAGGAGCGGGCGGCGGAAGGGGGCTACGCCTCGGACCACCTCACGCCACGCAAGAATGGCAACCAGGGGGAGGGTGAGGGAGGTGAGCGCTGTGTACGTGTGGTGGTTTGAGGAGGGGATTGAGCGCGCCGGGGGGACTCGCTTCGTTTTGAGGAGAATCAAAGACTCGATGCACCTGCGATTAAGCACCGGAATGCTGCCGAGAGCTGCGCTGGGTCCTGCATGGGGCGCTCGGAGGTGGCCCTCCCCGCCTCGGCGCACCCAGGCCATCGACCTCTCACTCCTTCCTCCCCGTCGCTGCCATATGACAGACGATTTGGTGGCGCAGCTGATGGAGCCCAGCACCTCCCAGATGGAGCACGACTATTCCATGGATCTGCTGACTTGATGACTCGATTGGGCAGCGTCGACACTGCGGCGGCCAGACCAGCTTCCAGAGTTGCAGCACCCAGGGACCCTCACCCTGAAGGCCTGGGGACGTCTTACAGCCTAGCATTCTTTACCCGGCTGTGGGATGCACAGGAACCCGGCGTCGATGCCCCCGAATCCCAAGGGCGCCCCTCTGAGATGAGCGCTAAATGGGCCTTCCCTCATGCTGACACCTTCCCCCCTCCCCCGATCCCCGGCCCATTTGTCCCGAGCTTGAAGAATCCAAGCTTGAAGAATAGCGCTGCCATGGTCAGCTGCCGCCCCCTTCCGCAGGTGGCACCCTGGTGGGCAGATTTCTAGCTTGCTCTCCTTTCTGTACCGCAGGGGCCCCCATCGTTTGGCTGCTGGCACACCTCCCCATCCAATACACGCTCAGCCCTCCCATCCCCTCCCTTGACCGACCATACTATGTGGCCCAGGGTCCGTCCACTGCCTGGGCTGGTCCCGTCCTTCTCTCCCTCCCCCTGTGCACCCAGCTTGGCAACCGCCGAGGCCACGAGAACCATCGTCACATACTACAGCCTCTCCCCTTCCAAAATTTTCTGTCCAATCCCTTGTGCTGACATTGTACGCTTCTCCTTCCTAAAATCGATTCCGCTTGCTGCTGTGATTTTTTAACAAGCCTGCGGAGTGACTCCCGTTCGTCATGGCTCAAGGATGAGGTAAGGCTTCATCGGGGGGAACGCGCGAGCCTCAGTTTTGGCACAACGAGCTCATGAAGCCAGCGTTCCTGCATACCATGTCTTGGGCAATCACTGGTGCGCAGCCTTGGCAGCTGCAGCCTTGGCTGCCTTTGCCTGGTGATTGGATTGGGATGCGGGGAGAGGTAAATGGGAAGAGGTAAATGGGATTGGCGTCGCTATGCTGCTCGTCTGAGACGATCATCTGCAAGCGAATGTCCCGGTGTAATCTACCACAATCTGGTGCTCCTGTACCTTGTAAGTTGCAAGGGTGGCCGCTCCGTACACAAGACCCAAACCGGCGGCACCGACCCGAAGGACCTGCAAGGGCAGGATACGAGAGTGCTGAGATACATTTGGCTCAACGCCTGCATGCATGTAGCGAGACGGACCACCCGCGGGACACACCTTGGCGAGGGTGGACGTGCCGCTGTAGGGGTTCATCTCGAGGATGGGAGGACAGCGAAGGGTGGATACCCAGTATATAGGACACTGGTGCTCCGGTATACGGTGCGAACCGTGCACTGAAGGGCTGCAAAGTCAGGTGCGTGCCTGCCTGAAGCTCACACAGGTGACTCAGTGAGGGGACCGAAGCCGGGCGGGCTCAAGGGAGATTGACAGGGACGGGATAGGCAAAGGGGTCTCAGCTGTACAGGCAATCCCAGCTGCGATCGTCTGCTTGCAATGTCATGCAACCCTCGGTCCACGCCGATGCCACACTGCTCGCGGCTCGGGTAGTAAGGGTCGCGCTTTCCTGCTCGATGTCCATCTCCCATGAGCCTGCATGGGTGCCCGGCACCATATCCCCTGGTCCAGGCCAACGAAAACCTCCCGCAAACGACGAGAACAATAATCCGTGGCTGTGTAACGCGATCAGAATGGTGCGGGCCGCATGCCGGAAGCATTTCTGAGGAGCGACCAGGTGACCCTTAGCTCGTGTCCAGCCGGGTGTTGCGGGATACTAGCTGACGCCCCTCCCCAGCCTGGAGCCCCCAGCATGCATTGAGGAGAGGGTTACATCTAGGAGTGCCTGTTGAACACGATCGGGCTCGATGATGGGTGTCTCCATCGCGAGTTCGCCCTGGCTGGGTCCCAGCGGTCTCCCCTCCTCGGCCTGTTTTCGGACGCCTCGGTCCCGCTGCCCCCGCCCCACCCGCCACCCGGCCGTCCGCGTGAAGGTGAGGGTATGGCCTTTCATACCTAGGAATGACCAGCTGGCATGCAGAATGTGCTCTCCTTGCTCTGCCGCGCCTTCCCCAGAACCCCTGCCCTCCGCCGTTTCTGTGCCCAGCCCCGACCCCAGGCTCCTGATGCAGCGCCGCTCCATCCCTCACCCCTTCGAATCCACCTCTTCTGCCAGGCCGGGCTGGAGCCCAAGAAGCTGACGGCCCAGGACCTGCGGCGCATCCAGGAGCAGGGCCCCTCCATCCAGGACCTCACCCGCACGCTCAAGGTGGTTTATGAACCCCGCAGCGGCAAGGTGGTGGAGCCCCTGGTGCTCACCCACGACTTCGTCCCCCCCTCCGCGCTCACCGCCCCCGTGCTCACGCCCGAGCCCGACTGGCGCCGCATCCCGGAGATGCCCTTCATGGAGCTTTTCGATGGCCTCCAGCGCCGCAACTGGACGCACCCGCGCTACGACCCCTCGCTACCCAAGTGGGAGCTGGCCTTCTTCCGCGACACCGCCCGCCTGCTGCGCCCGGTGTACAGCGGCTACCGCGTGCTGGTGCAGTGCCCCGCGGAGGGGCGCTCCGCCTGGGTGGCGCTGGACCGGTCGGGGGCCGACGCCTTCCTCCGCGACTACTCCGGCGGTGGGCTGGGCGGCGCCGTGCACAACGCCAAGCGCCTGCCCCAGGTGCTGGTCTCGCCGACGCAGTACGGCTTCAATCAGGTTTTCGAGCAGGTGAGTCATCCGGCTGATTGGGAATGGAGGGAAAGGAGCGGGGGAAGGGGGTGCCAGTACCGATGGTGGTGGGGAGGGGGATGATGGCGCGGGGGGTGGCGCTGTACTAGGTCCAGGACTGGGTGAGAAGGCTGGCTATGGCCCCCTGGTTTTGAGGTGCTCCCTCCACACCTCGACCCATCCTCTGCGCCCCCCCTTCATCCCACACAGCTGTTCCAAGCCTTTGAGGAGGAGGCGACGCCGGCCCAGATGCACGAGATCTTCAACAAGGGCTTCTCGCCGCGCAAGGGGACCACCTACTCGTGCCCTGCCGACAAGCAGCTCTCCGTCACCTTCCACCAGACCCTGCCGGTGGGTGGTGCACAGGGATGACTGGTCAAGGTGGACTTGGAAACTTTTGCTGTCGATGGTGGGGTGTGCGTGCGATTGGAAGACCTTTGGGCTCCCCATTCACAGGATCGTGGGGTCCCCACTGCATCCCCCAATCACAACCATTCCCCCTTTCCACACCCACCCACACACCCAAAACATAACAATAGGAGTACTCCCTGGGCTGGCTATTCAAGGCCATCCCACAGTACGGCATCTACGGCATCGCGCTTTCTTTTCTCGCCGTGGTTCTGGCCGTCGGTATCTTTAAGCCTCGCAAGCAGATGCCCATTGACCTCTTCATGGTACGACAAGGGGGTGTTGCGTCTGGATATTCGCGGTGGGCAGTTCGGGGGCTTGCAATGTTCTGTCATTGCTGGAATCGTGCGCCCACGGCCATTCCCCACCTCCCCCCACCCCCCACCCCCACCCCGGGGCCATCTCCATCTTCCCCCAATTATCGCCCCCAACCCATCGCACCATCACAACAAAACAACAGGCGCTGGAGTTTGCGCAGTCCAAGGGCAAGGCGCGCAAGGATGGCACCACGGGCGTGGGCTTTGCCGACGTGGGCGGCATCGGCACCGCCATCCACGACCTGAACGACGTGGTGGCCTTCCTCAAGGCCCCGCTGCAGTACGCGGGTATGAAGGCGCGGCCGCCCAAGGGCATCCTGCTGGAGGGCGACCCCGGCACGGGCAAGACGCTGGTGGCCAAGGCGGTGGCGGGCGAGGCGGGCGTGGCCTTCTACCAGATGGCGGGGTCCGAGTTCGTGGAGGCGATCGTGGGCGTGGGCGCGTCGCGCGTGCGCGACCTGTTCAAGCGAGCCATGGTGAACGCGCCCTGCATCATCTTCGTGGACGAGATCGATGCGCTGGGCATCAAGCGCGCCGACGCGGGGGTGGGCACCAACGAGGAGCGGGAGCAGACGCTGAACCAGCTGCTGACGGAGATGGACGGCTTCAGCCCCAGCCTGGGCGTGATGTTCATCGGCGCCACCAACCGCGCCGATCTATTGGACCCGGCGCTGCTGAGGGCGGGGCGCTTCGACCGCCGCATCCGCATCAACCTGCCGGACGAGGTGGGGCGGGAGGAGATCCTGCGCATCCATGCGCGGCGGACCAGCATGGACCCGGGCGTGGACCTCGCCCAGCTGGCAAAAGACCTGCCCGGGCTGTCGGGCGCAGAGCTGGGCAACGTGATCAACGAGAGCATCCTGGAGTGCCTGAGGCGGCGCGGCACCACCGTCACCCAGCGCGACGTCGACAACGGCGTGGACCGTGTCGTGCAGGGCGTGCGCCTGCCGCCGCTGCCCAAGCACTACGCCATGCGCCGCCGCCTGGCGCTGCACGAGGCGGGGACGGGCGTGCTCTCCACCTTGCTGCGGGCGCGCAGCGGGCACGTGGAGGCCGTGGAGCGCATGAGCCTGGTGGGGCGCGGGCGCGAGCTGTCGCGCACCGTGCTGGCGCGGGGGCGGGACGAGACCTACCTCCTGGTCACGCGCGCGCGCCTGCGCGACCGCATGCGCGTCGCGCTGGCGGGGCGGGCCGCGGAGCACCTGTTCCTGGGGGAGGCCAGTAGCTACTGCGACAAGGACCTCCAGGTGGGATTCAGTCGGTGTGGTTGAGGGAAAGGGTGGGGTATTTGACGTGGGGAAGGAGGGGGGAGACCATGCGTCACACTGTGTGAGGTTGTGAGCGCTTGGGACTGCAGCGACGGCGTCCTACGCCCTGCTCAGGGCTGCAACTCAGGATCACCCCCACCGCCTCGGACGCCACAGGACGCGCGGCGCATCGCGATGCGCACGGTCACCGCCTACTGCCTCTCCGACCTGGGCCTGGTCAGCTACTCCCCGCCCCCCGTCCCCTCCATGGAGAATCAGATGTTTGGGTTCGAGGTCAACCCCGACCGCATCGACGACAACCTGTTTGGGCACGCGGTGCCCGGCGGCGGCTTCCAGCCCACCGACGCCACCTGGAACGCGGTGTGCCGCGCCGCCAGCGACCTCATCCTGGCAGCCTACAACGACAACATGGAGGAGCTGGCGCGGCACGAGCCGGCGGTGCAGGCCGTCGCCGACGCCCTGCTGCGCCAGGAGACGGTGCTGGGTGAGGAGCTGGAGGCCATCATGGCCTCGCACCCGCCCGCGGCACCCGTGCGCGAGGTGCCCCGCCTCGCGCACGACTTTGATGCCATGGGCGGGATGGTGGGCGAGTTCCACCGCTACCAGCGCCTGGAGGCCGCCGAGCGGGAGGCCAGGAAGGCGGGCGAGGGCAGGGGCCTGGGCGCGGGGGAGTTGTGGGAGGAGGCCATCCGTCGCGCGCCCATCGGCGCGGGAAGCGGCGGCTAGGCAGCCGGTGGTTCGGTCGGTGCGTCGCACGTGAGACGGCGCCTGGGTCGTGTTGTGCGCCTGGGCACCTTGCCTGTGGCGCAGAGTCGGACCCTTGCTCTCTCTTCCCAACCCCACGTCTGGCGAGTGGATGGCACCGGCGGTGCACACCTCTCCCCCTCCCTGAGCGCCCATGGTCTACTACCGACCACTCAAGTGTGCCCTCCCCTGCTCTGCACATGAGTGAGCGTGTTGTAAAGTCCACAGGAGGAGGGCCGCGCAGCGCGCCGTGACAGCTGGGGCATGGGGAGCATGGGAGACTGGGGATGGCAGAGGGAAGCAGGACCCGTACGACATCCAGGGTCCGCGTGGCAACTTCAGCATGGGATTGATGCTGCGCGCCTGGTCGCACGCCAAGCTGGCCCGCCCGCTCAGGGCGAGGGCAGGCCGAGGGACTTGGCCAGCCCCGCCATCTTCTCCTGCATGCCCTTGACGCTGGTGGCGTGGGCCTCCTGCGCCGCCTCCAGCACCGCCTGGGAGAGGGCCTGCAGGAGGGTTGTATGTGGAGGCGAGCGTGGTAACAGTCAGTCATGAGCAGGGTGGGTGGAGGATTCACGAGACTGCGCTTTGAAGTGGGGTGCATCCACTGCGGGAGCATGCTGGCTGAAGGCTCAGGGGATGACATTCCTGCCTCGCTGCCCAACCTCCCACCTCAGGGCCGTCCTTGTATGCCTCCTGCGTGATCTCCACTGCCTTGGGCTGCTGGTTGCCAGACACCACCACACGCACGGTCTCGTCCTTGGAGAAGCCCTCAAATTCCGTCCTGGCGTGAGGGAGGTCAGGTGGAAGCAAAGGTGGAGGGAGGAAGAAATGGAGCCGTCGAGGGAGTGCGCACAGTGCTGCGCTGCATAAGCAGCCACGAAGCACGATTTAAACTTGGACGGCGTTTCCAAATCTCCCCAGGATGCGACCAGTGGCCCGGAGGGGGGCTCCCTGCAGGGAACCGGATATACCTGCAAACATCACCCGACCCTTCCCTCTCGCTTCCTCACTGTGCGAGTTCTGCCTGCAGCCTGGCCGTCTCGGTCTTCACGAGGTTTTGCGCGTCCTTCAGCTTCTCCATCATGTTGCCAAAGTTGCCAAAGGGATTACCACCTCCGCCTCCACCTTCCTGCCAGGCGCAGAGGAGGAATGAGGGGAGGTGATGGCGCGATGTAGTCCTCTCCAGCGATTATCGGTGCTGTCCAGCCAAATCAACATGTGCATGTCCCGCTCCGAGCGCCTACCTCCTTGCCCTTCCCGAAGAGAGCTTGTGGGCTTGCCAGACACGTCCTCCTGGCAGACGAGCTGAACTTGCTGCGCGATGGAAAAGGGATGCAGGCTCTCGTGATCTAGTCTCGGCAAATCCATTTTAATGTGCCCATTCCCACACTCCCATTCTATGGGCCCCCCCACACACTGTGTCCGTGTCGAGATTCCAGCAGGGCGACACGAAGTGGAAAGGCAAGGCTTCAGACCCGCGCATGTCGCTGCCATTGCGCCTGCAACCATGTGTGATTTATTCAGATGATGAGCAAATGCTACGAGTTGGTACTCGTTTGTGTCGCATCAGATCCTGCATGGCACCCCCTTGAGTTCGTCTTACCCACATTCTCGCAGGGCCCCGCTTCCCGCCAGGATCCAGGGATCTCAACGAGGTACGTGACCAGCGTGCATGCACGGTGTGGTCGTCCTCGGGAATGATCGCTCAAAACGACTTACCCTAATTATGTAGTTGCACCGCTAGGAGACTGTTGGGATCTCGAATTGGACCTGCCTGGTGCGCGTGCCATACCCAACGACCGGGCACTACCCAGTGTCACGTCACCTGGTCTGGCCCCTCCACTCCAGCCTCGCTCGCTGAGAGGATAGGACTCGAATCCAGAATAATATGTTGGGGGTACACTTTCGACATGCGCTCCTCATGGCAGCAGCGCTGGCCATGCTGGTACACCCCGCCTGGTCGAAACGGGACGAGGACAACCTGATTGGATGGAGCGAGGACTACAATGCTGCCCCTGGCACAGGGAACAGACTGGGGAGAATGAAGGTCCTCAGTTGGAGTCCCCGTATTTTCCTCCTCCAGAACGTCCTCACCGACGGTGCGTGGTGAGGAGTTGGAGTGTTTGTTGTACGCCCAAGCATCAGCCGGGGCAGGAACTGCTTGTGGCCGGCATGTCTTGGTGTCGGCTGGGTCGGACGAGGATCCTGATCCTGACTCAGGTGCTGCATGCATGTGGGCATTGTATCGTCAGTGATGAAAGGGGTCACAAGCCGCTGCCACCACTGCCCAACGAGTGCCCGCCCAGACATGCGGAATGCCAGCGCCGATCCCACCCCCGCACCCCCACCTCTTCCCAGACGAGTGCGACCACATCATCAAGGCCGCCACCCCCCGGCTGGAGCGCAGCGGCGTGGTGGAGGTGGAGGGCCGGGGTCGAGACGGCGTCTCCGACGTCCGCACCTCCTATGGCATGTTCTTCGACCGCAAGGAGGACCCCGTGCTCGCGCGGGTGGAGAACCGGCTGAGCGAGGCCACCATGATCCCCGTCGGCCACGGCGAGGGCATCCAGGTGCTGCGCTACGAGAATGGGCAGGAGTACAAGCCCCACTTTGACTACTTCTTCCGTGAGGCTGGGGACGGGGTGGGGGAAATGGGAGGAGGGGTGGCGGCCTGGGGCCATGAACTGAGAGGGGGGACGTGGGAGCAGTGTATCTAGATGCGGCAGCGCACAGACCTGTTGTCATCAATCGATAACATGCCTCCCAAACTGCCCCTGCAAAGGCCGATCAGTCCCTTTGAGGCCATCAATCTCCCTCTCATTTGATCTCCCCCCCCCACTCTTACAACTGCTTGCAGACGAGGCGGGGACCGACAACGGCGGCAACCGTCTGGCCACGGTACTCATGTACCTGTCGGATGTGGAGGAGGGGGGCGAGACGGTGTTCCCCAACGCTGCTGTCCCTGCCAGCCAGAGCCGCGAGGCGGGGTACAGCGAGTGCGCCATGGCGGGGTTGGCCTACCGCCCGCGTAAGGGCGACGCCGTCGTCTTCTGGAGCCTGCGCACCGACGGCACGCTGGATGCCGGGGCGCTGCACGGCTCCTGCCCCGTCACCAAGGGCACCAAGTGGGCCGCCACCAAGTGGTGAGATATGGGGGGAAGGTTGGATGGTTGCATTGACATGGGGGGGAGATTGCATGTTGGCAAGGTCGGGAGGGCTTCCTGCCGGTGTGCGTGGAGAAGGCCGCCGCCGCGATGACCCTGCAGGCACGGGGCCGCGCTGCGCGGCCGTGCCTGCATCATCACAGCCAGACTCGTGCATCGCTGCCGATGACGGCTGGGTGGGCTGCTCCCCTCTGACCCGCCACACCCTTTGTTCCCTTGGTCCCGCATGGCAGGTACCATGTGGCCCACTATGCGATGGACGGAGAGATTCCCAAGTCTGTGAAGCATGTAGTGTTCAAGGCCCCCCGCCCACCAGCACCCCCAGGTAGCCAAACAGGGTGCCGGACAGGAAAGGGAAAGGGGTCTGAGCGATGCATGCATGGCTTGGGGTTGGGCCTCTGGGCAGCCCCTCAGGCTTGCATCAAGGCATGCACACTCTTCAGGAACCGTCCTCCCAGCAGCTGGAAGCAGGCCCTGTCACAACCCCATTGCACCCATCTCTGCAGGGTGCAAGGACACGCAAAAGGCGTGCTCAGACTGGGCCGACGGCGGCGAGTGTGACAACAACCCTGGCTTCATGGTCGGGCAGAAGGGGCAGGCGGGCGCGTGCCTCTACTCCTGCAACCGCTGCGACCTGATGGACGCAGCGATGGCCACATGAGGAGAGGGTCGTGGTATTGAACGGTATATCATGTGTACAACGCTCTACACTTCTTCCCGATCAGCTGCAGTATCCCCCCATTCCGACTGCATTGGCGATTTTCCAGGTGCTGGTGCCCCCATGAACATCTGCTCGTGCTCTCTGTGCCCTCCCGGGTATGCAGGGACGGCTCGTGATACGCGTATTTGTGCGGAACAAGGGGCCTTTTGGAATGGGTAGTCCAGTACAGGCTGAGAAGCCGATGCATGCAACGAGGCTGGCAATGAAATCCCCGGGAAGTGGGTGAAATATGAGGGCATGATGTGACTTGTGGGCCCCTGCCATGGTAACTCACAGAGCCGACTGACGTCCTGTTCACGTTGCTACACTGCAAAATTCCTTCCTTGCCACAATGCATGTAACGTGTGCTGGTCACATTGTTGCCTGCACATCCACGCCCACATTGGTCGCTGATCCTATAAAGTCCTCCTTGGTAGGCTGCTGTACGGCATCGTGGCTGGGCGGAGGATCTACCACGGGCACGGCCCCCACCCTCGGCCTCTTGGCCATGGCAGACTCCCCTCCCACCTCTGCCTCTCCGTCCTCCTCGTCGCTGCTTGAGGACGAAGACGAGCCGCTGCCGCTGCTGCTGCTACTTGAGGATGAGGAGGAGCTTGCGGAGTCCGGCCCCTCTCCCGGCTGGGCGCCGGCATCGTCCGCCTGGGCGGCCAGATCGGGCCTGGCCAGGCGCAGCCTGGCCAGCCAGCGCTGGCTCATCTTGGGGCGGCCGCGCCGCGTGTGCCGCCATACCCTTGCGAATCCCACGCTGCTGCAGAAGTTCTGGGTCACCGCCAGTGTGTCATCCAGGTTCAGGACCGCGTGCCACCAGCCGGCGGGCACAAAGATGGTGTCCCCGGGGCCTTGCACGCAGTGTATGAGCCCGGGCGGCGCGCCCGGCGGTGTCCCAGGATCTGGGAGTGGCACGCTTCGTGAGCTGTCTTGGGGGACTGGTTGCGGCGGCGGGGGAGGAGCGCCTGGCGTTCCAGGGCCGGTACCTCCACCCCCTGCCGCTCCATCGCCGTTCATGCACCCTGGCGCCTGACCGCCCTCCGCACCGAGCATGGCCCGGAAGACGGTGGCAAACCAGGAGGAGGCCTCGCGGTCGGAGCCCGGCGGCCTCAGCACCTCGCGGTGCGTGCCGGGGGGGAACAGGGCCCAGCGCTTGTGACCCCGGAGCAGCGCATTCCAGGCGCTGGTGGCGAGCGGGTCGATGTGGACCCCGCTCCCGCTTCTGGCCGGGCCCATGACCAACCACCTGGGTGTGGAGAGGGAGCCGGGATGGATCCGAGCTGGGAGAGGTCAGCGTGTGCACTTCCACCGGAGGCTGCACAACTCCACGGGCCAGGCATGTGGCCTTGCCTGGTGCACACACAGCATGCATGCTTGGAAAAGACGCCCGCCCATCCCACGCAAGGGACTGCACCTGTAAGGGGGCCTGCGCCGCTCGCCCGCATGCTGCATCAGGTCCTCGGCAAACAGGGCCGGGACGGAGTAGTCCTGCCTCAGCCTGCGGCTGCCGCGCCGGGTGGCGAAGCTGCCGTCGAAGATGTAAAGGGGGGAGTCGTCGAGGCGGCCGTGCTCCCTGCTGGCCCGGTAGTACAGGAAGTCACGCAGGGACAGCCGGACGGCGTAGCCGTCGTCATCCGACCCGACCTGCAAGCGGCGGGAGGGAGGGGGGGCCTCGAGCATGTTTGGGGTGAGACAAGCTGCGCAGCAGGTTTGGGATCAGGGCGCCGGCGAGAGGGAAGAGCACTCACTCCCCAAGCACCACCCGGTCATCCACACCGCCGGGCTACCTTGAACCGGTGGTCGCCATACCTCTCCAGCAACCGGGCGTCCGTCCATTCCCGGCTCGCCGGCCAGTCGCGCGTCAGCCCGGTGAGGATGACGGGAACTCCAGGGGACTCGAACCTGACGGCAAACTCCTCGGCGGTCAGGGAGCGTGCATCCACGCGTGCTATTGTGTTGGGGAAGTCTGCGCCCACCTGCAGGACATTCGAATGGGCCAGGCCGAGCTTGCTCCAGCCCCCACCGGTCACGCTCAGCTCGCTCCGGGCCGCACGCTTGGCGTGACGGATGGTCCGCTCCACATCAGTGCTGCGGAGGAGAGGGTATGACGGCAGGAGGCCTCGGCATTGGTGCTCATCGATACAGTCATTCACAGCAACGCACACAGAGATTAACGTGGAGTCACACTGGAGCCGGGATAAACATTCTTACTCGTATTCGAAGTTCAAAGCTTGTGTATCGGCAGGCGCACACGGCGCAGGAGGGCTGGAATCAGACAGCCGGGTACCGAGACACATGCAAAGGGGATGGTCGACCGGACTCTCTCACAAACACGGCGGCCCCAGCGTCCACGCCGCGCTATCAGCATGGACAACTCGCGATGAAAAGGTGCACATGGAAACCATCAAGCCTCCAAGCATAGACGCAGAGGGAGCATGTGTTCTCTGCCGCGCGCGCGCCACAACACCGGTCTCCATGTCACCGCATCTGCATGCAGGCACAGCCGACCGGTGGGGTCACACGCTGCCCTCGTCGAGGAGAATCCACTGCAGACTACAACCGCTTCAGCCATATGGGATGTCGATACCGGCTCATGCACCAGCGATTGCCGAGGCAGATGTGGATACAGCAGGCCCCATGAATCGCTGCAGAGTCCTCTCCACAGTGTCGACGATCGACTGTGTGTGTGAATCGATCTCAATGTTCACAGCGTCGCCCACGGTCTTGGACCCCAGAACAGTCACCCTGTGGGGTGGACGTCAGGAGTGCATCCATGTGGACGCGGAATGCTGTCGATAAGATCTCGAACAGTTTGGCTCACCTGAGTCTCTGCAAACAGCCGCACACTTGGCCCATGACAAACATCCCTATTGCCACACTCACCCCACAATCAGCACCCATCATGAAGCCCCTCCCATCTCAAATGCTGGAGAGCATGATATCCAGGCTAAGCTCACTCCTTGGGCCCATGATCAAAGAAGTGCCATACCGTCACTGCTGCTCACCTCTGGGTTTCTGGAATAAGGTAGACTGAGAAGGACGTCGAGGTCACCTCTCCCACCGTCAGACTGCAGCCGTCCACGCTGACAAAACCCTTGGGCATTATGTACTTGATCCAGGAGGCGTCCGCAAGCTGCATGGGTGGTGGACCCGACAATGAGACCCAAGGTGCATGTGCAGGTTGGGCGCAGCCAGCGTCACTGTTCAAAGCTACCACCTGCACCTCGCCCAGCATCGTCAAAGTCTCGGGAGAACCCCCCCCCTCCTGCACCTCAGGTCACACCCCTGTCCCTCACCTCGAACTCAAGCCGCCGGTTCAGCTCTGTCACCGCATCTGCTGCTATGCATGCCGTGGTGCATATATGCCCAGACACGGTGTGCCCGCCGATCTCGTCGCCAAATCGTGCAGCCCTTTCAAAGTTGACGGGCTTACCTGGGGCCAGATTACCCAGCGTGGTCCGGGCGAGGGTCTCTGAGATGACGTCAAACCAGCCGGTGTCGCCATCCTGTCGTGTGAGGGTCAGGCAGGTGCCGTTCACCGCCACGCTGGCACCGATCGAGATGCCGGAGAGCGCCTCCTGGGGAAAGGCCAGCTCCAGGCTTCGGAAGGCGCCAGCGTCGGACACGGAGCGCACCGTGGCCTGGCCTTGTACAATGCCTGTCCACGGGAGATGTCGTGGGTGAAGAGGTCTGATTGAAAGGATCCTGCGTACAGGAATGTCATCTCGAGAGAGCGTCACTTTCCTGGTGCCATGCGGGTCCCTCGAA